TGTCAGCAATGTGAATGCAGTAGGCTGGAGCCAAGAGGCCCAAGAAAACAAATTTCCCTAGGACCAGCTAATGAAACATCCCGTAGGCTGTGGGACTTCCTTTCTGCTGATAGAGAATTTGTAAATCCAGATGATACAGCTTCAACTATTTTTTGTTTCTCTTTGAAACTTGTCTCTCAGCACTGAGGTACTTAGACTGTATTGTTACTTTAAAAGTCTGGTTTTGAAAAACTAGCCCAGTGTGTGTCTAATTCAAGGAGGTGATGGAGATTATACTCTGGGTAACTCTTATGGGGTTCCGTCAGGAGTTTTGCTGAATCCTGATGATTTCCTTGCCTGAGTCTCCTTTCTAGAGAAGCCTGACCTGGAGTTCAAAGTACCCAGGGTTGTCAGGAAAGGCAGGGCTTGCCACAACAGACTTTCCAAACTTTCCAGCAGTTCAGAAGTTGCAGCCTGCTTTGAGAACTAGCTTAGCAATGCTTCCTCCCCGCAATGCCTGGGGAGAGCTGAGCTGTGCCTGAGTCACTGAAGGAATTGCTGGTGCTATAAACTCCAGTTCACAGTGTAGAACATGGGGCATTTTTTGCTGCTGGCATGTCAATCTCAAGATGTGGGGAGCAGAGAGCAAGGGCAGAGCAGGACAGTAGGTCTGAGTCAGGGTTTGCAGAGAGATCACAGAAGGGAAGATGTGGTGGGGTAGAGGCAGAGAGTGAGGCCCCCGGTCTTTGTTCCCAGGCACCATCAGCACAGAGGTCAACCCTTCATGCTGAGCATTGTAGGTGGGTGCTGGATGTCCCGAGTCAGGGAACTGCTGATTTTGCTGTGGGTGTTTGGGCAGTGAAAGTGTGTGAGTGAGAGCTGAGTCTCAGCCCTGTCTTGTGCTGCACATGTCCCCAGCCCAGCTCCCTCCTTCCCCAGATCCCCTGAGATCCAGTAACTTCCAGCAGAGATGCTGGGGAGGGGCTGGTGGTGCTGAGTTCCAGCTGGGCTGGGCTGTGTTGGAGCCAGCCCGGGCACTCACCCACCTCAGCTGGGATGGGGGAAAAGTCAGTGCAGGGTCTTTGGGTCGAGATCACCTGAGCCCTTCTCCTCCCACAGGACTCTGTCCTTTCTCAGCTTTCTCCTTTTTCTCTCCCTTCCTCACCATTCCACAAGCTCAGACCCTCAGCTTTCTGACATGGACTCTCTCATCCAGTGGGGAGAGCTAGAGGCTTTACTCATCCTCGTCAGCTCTGCTGAAGCTGTTTGTCCTCCTCTCTTCCAGAAGCCAAACATTCCCTGCTGGGAGGTGGGTTTGACAACACTGAGAGCACCATGTATTTCAAGGAGCACAGCTGGTGAGGCTGCTTCTCAAGCAGGCACTTTCCCTGGCTGTGCCCTCAGGCATGTCCCAGGCATCGCCCGTGGCCCTGAGCCTGCTACTTTCCCACCTCAGCCCCAGGCACCCCGGGGACACTCCTCCCAGTGCCCAGCAGTGCTGAGCAGGGAGCCCTGCAAGCACAGCTGGCTGTGCCAGGTCCTGCTGCTGGGCTGGATGTACAGGGGGGCAGCCCCAAAGCCCTGGGGACCCTGTGTCGAGGAGGTGAGTATGGGGAGTGAGTGCTCCTCACTGGCATTTTCCTTCCTGCCTGCACAAAGTCTCTCATGAGATTTCTGGTTGATGCACAGTTATAATTTTCTTTAATTTCCTTTTTTCTCTTTGTTTCTCATCTTTTCTTTTACTGTCTCACACACAGTGTGGGCTCAAGCATCCTCTGTCATGATCCCATTGAACACACCCTTTGTCTGAGCAGGTAACTCCTGACCTGGTCTTTGTCAATGCAAGAACTTGGCCTGCTCAGGGCAGGAATGCTCTCCTCAGAAGGGCAGCGTTTCTGAGAGCCAAGATCACTAGCCCAGAGCTGTGCTCAGCCTTCTCCCAGTTTGAGAAAGGACATCTGCCTTGATCTTTTCACAGAAACAATTTATTTCAAAACATGGCACTGGTTTTCCTTGGAAGAGCACAGAGAATCTCAGTTGTAAACAGCTATTCTGGTCATGTTGAGAATCCCCCGAGCACAGGAAAGCAGGATGTCAAAATGTGAGCAAATGCACATGATGTTTGCATTCCAGCATGAGGAAGAGGCAGCTCCATGGGGCAAGTCAGCCCTGTGGTCAGAAGGAGTGCTCTTGGGACAAGTGGGTCTGTTGTCTTGAAGAACCCAGGTCCCTTAATTTAGTTTATGGAGAGAGAAAAATAGACTATGAACAAGGGAAAGTAGTTGAGATTTTTTTTTTTTGTTGTTGTATCCTTTTTAATCAGTAATTTCCATCACAGTTCTTCTACTTATCGCAAAGATGCAGGTATTTTGTCACAAGCCTCCTTCCTGGCAAGTGGGGGAAGAAAGAGAATCAACGCTGTATGGAAAAATGGGAAGAGGAGAATCAGACATCACCCACAAAGTTCCTGCTGAGGGCAATGGGGAATGTGCCCTCACTCCAGACTCCACTCTTCCTCCTATCACTCATCATGACTGTGATTGGGCACATCCTCATCGCTGTTTTGGTGCTGTCAGAGCAGCATCTGCACACCCCCACGTACTTCTTCTGGGGCAATCTGTCCTCCTTGGAGACCTGCTACAGCTCCACCCTCCTGCCCCGGCTGCTGGCCAGCTTGCTGAATGGGGATGGGACCATTTCTGCTCACAGCTGTATGGCTCAGCTCCACTGCTCTGGCTGCTTTGCAACTGCCGAGTGTTACCTGCGGGCCATGATGGCCTATGATTGGTATCTGGGCACGTGCCAGCCCCTGCTCTATGCAGGCTTCATGACCTGGAAGGTCTGCCTTCAGCTGGTGGTTGCACCTTGGCTATGTTGGTGTGTGCAACAGTCCGAAGTCTTCTTATCCCAGCTGAAGTTCTGTGGCCCCAGGGCAACTGGCCACTTGTTCTGTGACCTCTCTGCTGGAGATTGCCTGCAGTGGCACCAGCCTGTTCACACTCACATCCTTCATCCTCTCTTTCCTGAGCGTTGTCTTCCCCTTCCTGTTTGCTTTTGCGTCCCATGTGTGCATCATAGCTGCCATCCTGAGGATCCCATCCAGCATGGGCAGCAGAAGACCTCCTCCCGATCCTCTCCCCTCATTGTCATCTCTCTTTTCTCCTGCACCCTCCTCACTGTCTACCTGCTGCCCAGAACAGCCCCGCTGAGGCAGCTCAACAAAGTGCTCTCCCTCTTCTGCCACTGTCCTCACGCCCCTGGTCAATCCCCTTGTCTACAGCCTGCGGAACAGGGAGGTCAGGGAGGACCTGAGGAAAGCTCTCAGGAAAGACAAGGCCTGCACCCAGGGTGCACAATAATGTTCCACCTGCAGGGATGAATGCTTTGTGCTTCTGTTTTATCTCAGTAGGGAGGCCTTGGGCAGGCCTATGGTGTCCAATGCCGCAAACATTGTTTTAGGAGGGCGTGATATTGAGCACGTCTGTGGGATGGGAAAGGTCGAGGGGAAGACATTTCCTTTTAGAGAGTTCATAGAATCAGAATCAGAATGGTTTGGGTTCGAGGGGACCTTTAGAAGTCACCTGGTCCAATCCCCCTGCAATAAGCAGGGACATCGTCAGCTAGAGCTGGTTAATCAGAGCCCTGTCCAACCTGACCTCGAATTATTCCAGGCATGGGGCATCTATCATCATTCTGGACAATGTGTTCCAGGGTTTCACCAATCTCATTGTAAAAACTTTCTTCCTTATATCTAGTCTGAATCTACTCTCTTTTAGTTCAATACACCTACACACAGGGCTGTTCAGAGACACGAGTCCTTCCCTTGCACACGCAGAGGCAGTGCACTGCAGGAGCCATAGTGTCTCTCAGAACTCCTGCTGCCACCCCCAGAGGCTGGGAGGCACCTGAGCCCTGCGGTGCTCACCCTGCTCTGCACCCGTGGGAGATGCCCCAAGGTATGAGGAATGGACACAGGGACCGCGGTTCAGGGAAGCACCTCCCAGTGCTGCATTCAGGGGGTTTCCCAGGGGATGTGACTCTCTACATGAAGTGTCCTCAAGACACAGTCAGTGTCACAGGCATTCATGGCACCCCCAGGAATAGCTGATGGATTTTGTGCTCACTCAGATTTATTTCACCACACACACATGATGTGCAGGTTTATGGTTTGTAAAATGCAAAGTTGAACTTCTGACATAATCATTTGGTGTCACTCTGTAGAAGGATAAACAACCTCTCTGTGCTGCAGTGAGAGGCCTGTGCTGTAAATGGTGGTTGTTATTGTATGGTCTGTGACAATTGCCATGGGGCAGCTTCCCGGGGTGCCCAGCGCACATGGGCACAGATTAGTCCCCACTTTGCTGTTCCTTCAGGTCTCTCACAGGAGCCTGGCTGTACAAGGACACTGCTGTGTGCCCCCACCCTGCACACACAGACACACGCTTCCACTCCTCACTGGTGGTTTCTCTCCTGGGCTATTTCCTGGGCATGGTCTTGAAAGCAACTCTGGAAGAAGACCTAAGCCTTCATGCACTGCCCAGAGAAGATCCCCCTGTCTGATGGAAACACTGTCATGAAGGCCATCTCTGTCACAGAAGTGCTCAATGCTTGTCTCTACCTGCAGTTAAAGGACTGCCACACCGTGGGACGCTGACCACAGCACAAAACCACTCACATCTTAGACCAATACAAGGGCTGAGCTGGCAGGTCCAGAGAACGACTTGGAGGAAGGATCTCAAAGCATGTCTCTACAGTGTCCTTTATTTTGTTTAACCACAATGAGAGCATGGATCCTCATTTACACAGACTCTGGGTCACACAAAAGATTGATAGATACTTAATGAGAACAGGGAAAAATAATGACACTTTTTAGCAGAGAACATAATGTAAATAAAACAAAGAAAACAAAAAAAAATCAACCCCCAAAAGACCCAACAAAAATCTACAGACTGAGATCCTGTATGCAATCAGTTACACTTAGCGTTGTTTACAGAAGACACATATTTTATTGTTTCTGAAATTCAACCTGTTACCAGTTTCCTCAGGGCATCTTTGATCTCCTGGTTCCTCATGCTGTAGATGAAGGGGTTCACTGCTGGAGGCACCACCGAGTACAGAAATGACACCACCAGGTCCAGGGATGGGGAGGAGATGGAGGGGGGCTTCAGGTAGGCAAAAAATGAAGTGCTGATAAAGAGGGAGAGCACGGCCAGGTGAGGGAGGCACGTGGAAAAGGCTTTGTGCCGTCCCTGCTCAGAGGGGATCCTCAGCACAGCCCTGAAAATCTGCACATAGGAAAAAAGAATGAAAACAAAACACCCAAATGGTAAATAGGCACTAACCACAAGGAGCCCAACTTCTCTGAGGTGGGAGCCTGAGCAGGAGAGCTTGAGGATCTGGGGGATTTCACAGAAGAACTGGTTTATGGAATTGCCTTGGCAGAGTGGTAGGGAAAATGTGTTGGCAGTGTGCAGGAGAGAATAGAGCATCCCAGTGCCCCAGGCAGCTGCTGCCATGTGGACACAAGCTCTGCTGCCCAGGAGGGTCCCGAAGTGCAGGGGTTGGCAGATGGCAACATAGCGATCATAGGACATGGCGGTGAGAAAATAAAACTCTGCTGTAGCAAAGAAGACAAAGAAAAAGAGCTGTACATCACATTCTGCATAGGAGATGTCTCTGGTGTTCCAGAGGGAATTGGCCATGGCTTTGGGGAGAGTGGTGGAGATGGAGCCCAGGTCGAGCAGGGAGAGGTTGAGGAGGAAGAAGTACATGGGGGTGTGGAGGTGGTGGTCGCAGGTGATGGCGGTGATGATGAGGCCGTTGCCCAGGAGGGCAGCCAGGTAGATGCCCAGGAAGAGCCAGAAGTGCAGGAGCTGCAGCTCCCGCGTGTCTGCAAATGCCAGGAGGAGGAACTGGGTGATGGAACTGCCATTGAAAATTTGCTTCCATTGGTTATTGGGCACTGTCCATGGAGGAAAAGACATTGAGAAGTTAGGGTAGACTTCTCTGAGATAAAATCTACTCTGTATCTCTCAGCATCTGACTCTTCCTTTCAACCAAGACCTTTGGCCAGTCCCTCCTGTGAGCTCTGGTTGGTGCTCGCTGAGAGTGCCCCATGGAGAAGGGGCTCTGCTGTGAGCTCTGGAGGAGTCGGTAGGGCTGGACAGTTATAAATAAATCAGAACACGGATAATCATACATTAAATACACTTGTATTATCAAAGAGGTTTACAGTACTATTTCTCCCATTTCACCTGACTGCAGGGTGGAAACATGGGGATTTAATTTTTTACTGTTCTAGTTGCACCACTATAACTGAGGAGTGGTTTTAACGCAGAAATTCTTGGCATTTCTGCTGAACTCCTACTGAAACATTGTGTTTCTTGAGTGGCCAAGGGGCTGTCCTGAAATTCAGAATGAGGTGAGGCATTCTGTCCATCAACCCTGGTCTCATCTGCCCTGTGCTGGCACCGCTTTGGGCTGGATGATGATAGACACAGCTGTTCCCCACAGAAACAGGGCACTGCTGGGACTAGAGGAATCCAGTCTCCAAGCACAGCTCTCCAAAGCCCTCAGCCTCTCTCATCGCACCTGAGGAGGATCTCAGCTCTCCCCTCCCAGCCAGGGACACAGAGGGCTCATTGCAGCTGCCTGTGTGCAGACGCCCAGCAGCATTTCCATGGCCTTCGCACTGAGGTGTTTCTTCCCTGGGGCTGCAGGATAACACAGAGATGTCCTGGGGAAGCTCTGCCCACCTGGAGAGAAACCTGCAGCCCAGCACGAGCCCCTCAGAGCAAGAGTTGAATGTCCTAAAGAGTGAGTGTCCTGAAAGGAGTATTGTGTCCTTTGTTTTGCCCTGAGCCCACAGATTATGAGGAGACTTTACTCCCATGGACACATCTGCACAGCAGGACCCACAGGGTTGGGCTCAGAACTGCAGCTTAAGCCCAGCCCCCCATCCCAGCAAGTCCAGGGATGACAGTAAGGGGAGCAGATACAGGAGGGGGAAAATGGACAAATACTACAGAGCTGGTGCTACTTGAGGCAGAAAGGGACAGGCGGTTAGGTATTTGCTAAGTTTTCCCCTTCAAAGCTGAGTCTGCTGGGATGGTGCCCCATGGCCTTCAGGGCAGAGACTGTGTTGAGTGGGAGGGGACAGCAAGGGGTTGCCTCATGGAAGGCATCTGCAATGTAGGGGATGGCAACGAGGTGCCCAAATCCCCCCTCTCACCGCATTCCTGACAGCAACTCCATCTCCCTCCCTGCCCATGTCTCTGGTACCTGGGGCTGTCCCTGATGAGAGCTACTTTTTTGTCCCCTTATCTCCTCCCTGTCAGTGCTGCCAGCCCCCATCCCACCCACAGTGTGCTCAGCTCTGCCCTGCAGACCCCTCCTGGCAGCAGGACACTGCCAAGGGACAGCTCTGTGTTGTAGAGTCCTAAGGAGCAGATCAGAAGAGACCACAATGCTGAAGAGACCACAAAAGCAAAGGGATTTTGTAGTCAAAGGACTGGGTGAAGGGGCTTTATCAGGTTCCTCAAAGACCTACTCATCTGAGGGCTTTCTCAGAGGAAGGTGTCTGCATTGGAGAGGATGACAGGGAGATTTGAAAATTCTTCCTCCCATGACATTTATGGTTGCAGTTTCCTATAGCTCTCTGCCCATGTCCCTGCTGCCTGCAGCTGTGCCTGCCCAGAACTCTCTCTGTCCTCAAATTTCTTTCCTATCAGAGATGACACACTTCATCAGCAACTGCTGCATGCTCAGCTCTGACCTGAAGAGACCTCCCAGTTTCAGGCACTCATTCAGTGCCTCTCCCCATTTGCAGGCAGTAAGGAGCAGGTTAGACAAACACTGATGAGGAGAAAAAAAAATGTTGTGGGTGCTCTCTGTAGGTAGAGGAGTGGGTAAAAGCAGTTTATGTGGTTCCTACCAGACCTACTGATCTCTTGCTGTAACGGTTCATATCTCTGTCTCCCTCTCCAAGTGTAGCAACTTCTTTTTCCTTTTCCCTGAAACAGCAAGAAACAGAAAGCACAGTCCTTTAAGGTAGCCTCTGCTATAATCTTCCTCTGGAAGAGTCCCCCCTGAAACACCATGAGCAGCTCTGGGTGCACACCCTGGCTTCACCCCTTCACATTTGTTGAACATGTGCCCCTGGATTGGGAGTCCTCCTGACAGATCCCATAGGCTGAGGGTTATGACAGTTTTAGGAGACCCTCCCAGGAACTGCAGCTGCATTGCCCTGCTACCAGACACTTACCACGTAGAGGCCTGTGAAGATTTCTCCCGCAGTGAGATCTCCTCTGCCCTCCCAGCCCAGGCTGCCTTGAAGCTGTGTGTGCCTCGCTGCTCTGCCCTGGGTGCCTGCAGGCAGTGCCCTCAGCCCTGCTGCGCTTTGCAGAGGAGCTGCTCCTGGGCAGAGCTGTCTCTCTGCAGCGCTGCCCACTTGCCAGGAGCTCCCTCCAGCCCAGGAGCCCGGCCCAGCTCAGCACCACAGCAACAGCCCAAGGTGCCACTTGCTGTGGCCCCTCTGGGATCCCTCCAGGTGTCCCTGGGACTCCAGGGGAACCTGCTGTGACACAGCCTCATGCAATCACTGATAATTTCTCCCTCAGCTGGCAGACGCACTACTTTCCAGCACTGTCATTTCTCCTACCAAATTACAATTTGGTTCCTATAATCAGCTTTTATTGTCCTATCATTACATAAGACATCTAGGCTCTTATTGGGAGGCACCTGTAGCTGAGCTCCTTTTGTCATCTCAGGTCATGATAGAGATGGAGATCAGGAGTGAGCTGTTGAGACACAGTTAGAGATATCTGAGGGTCAGGAGGTGTTCCAAGAAATGTGCGGAAGACTGCAAGCTCTTATGGAGCAATGCTGAGAGACAGGACAGCATCTGGGGGCATCTTCTTGGAGTCTGAAGGGGACCATCTTTGGCCAACAGCAATGACAGCAGATGCCCACATTTAGTACAAGTGACTCTGCCACTGTCTGTTTTGTTCTGGGCAGCCTGTGCAAGGATTCTTCTGAGCAAATGGAGTCATATACATTTGGGAGAGCTCAGTTTCTCTCTGTCTTTTCCATCAGCAGAATTTACTTGATCCCCACAACAGTGGTCTCATGAACACCTCCACATTGCTTCACCAGTATTAGGGCATTTATGCTGTTTAATGCCAGAGGCTTCCAGTGTTACGTGAGGTGCCAAGGCTCTCTCACACAGCTCCATGGGGTTGGCTAGGACAGCACTGGTACTATACATGCAAGCAATCTCCCTCCAGATCGGGGCTGTGACAGACCCCCCCGCACAGCACTGCAGACAGATTCGGGGCTGCTGTGCAAGCCACTGACTGCCACCACTGCAACGTGGCAAGGTCTGTCCCTTCTCTATCCAGGAGATGGAGAGCAGTCCAGGAACACAAGGCACATCACACTGCGGACTCCACACAAGGGTTTACCTTCTCAGACTGTTGGTTTTTATCTCCAACAAACATTACCCATCCCCCTTGAAGATGTAGTCAAGGAAATGACCAACAATTTTCACACCGGGCCTGTCAGCAGAACCTAGTTGTTCATGGAGATCACCTCCACATTCAATGATGTCCATCCCTAGCAGAGAAGACAGCAGTAAAATAAACCTGAATCTATCCAGGACTGCACTTCCCTGTCCTATTTCTATCACACGTAGATGGTGAGAGAGCTGAGATACTTCATGTCCTCTTTGCCTCATCTTTCACCAAGTTCTCCTAAGCCATTGTGCCTCAAGGCAGGACTCTAGAGGAAAACAGCTGAAGGTGGGGAGGAATCAAATAAGGGGCTATTTGAGCAATCTCAAATGTCACCTGTCCAAAAGAACAAGATTTATCAATCTGTCTATACATAGGGGAGAGAAAGTGTCATCAGCTTGCTCGTTCTTGTCCATGGCCTATGAAAATATTTATGGGAATGTACAGAACAATGTCAAAGTTCTGAAAATGAACTCCTCTTACACACTGATTGCACCAAGGACTTTTCTGCAAATGTTGAAACTTTTGGCTAATATCTTCACTCCAGAGTTGATGCAGTTGATCACAAAATCGTGGCCACCACCTCCAAGATACATGAGGGTAGATGAAACCCTGACATGTGACAGGGAAATGTGACCCTGGGCTGATGGGAGACTTTGTGGAGGGGTACCTGGTGGACAGGCAGTTGCCTGCCTGGACGAGGAAGCCTGGACAATTGCACCCAAGCTGTCAACGTGTTGGATGAGAAAGAGAAATCAGTGGCTCTAGGTGTTGCAGAGCCTACCTGAAGATGTACCTGTAACTCAGATACACTGGGCTGAGTGTGGATTTGGCTGTGAAAAAGGGGGCGATTCATTTCTTTTGATTCTTTTCTTCCTTCTGTGAATCGAGGGAGCTCATGACTTGAGGGTGTAAGTAGCTGGGAGTGAAAATGGACAGAGTCTGGGTCAGGGAGTGCTCTGGGGGTTCTTGGGATCTCTGCTTGACAGGAAATATGATTTTCTTTGGTATAAGGCCATCTCTGCTACGGAAATTGGACTGCAGATGAGGGAATTTGGGCTTCATATACAGCAGAGATGTGTATTTTATGTTTTATTAAACTCTGCCTGCATTTGGTTTTGCTTTTTTGGCAATTAAGAAACATCCTTCAGTGTCTGTGTATAGCTTGATTCCCAAGTATGGCAGGTGGGAGTTGGTGTCTATGTGGTGAAGCGTGCAGCTACAGCCTGTCGTGGAGAAAGCTCAGATTGGAACAAAGGTGCTGTAAGTCCCAGGGGGCTGGTGAGAGACATGTGGGGATGGAGGTAGGGACAAACACTGTCCAGAGAGTGTCTGACATACAGGGTCTTGACTTCCCCCTATATTCAGACTCGATAAGGAGAAGTTCAGTATCAGTATCAATTGGAATTCGGTGATGTCTCTTAGTGTGTAAGCAGGAAAATAGGAACTAGTGGAAAAAGAAGATATTGTTTCCTATTGACATTTAGTACGGAAAGATTTATACTATAACTACACTCCTGAAACTACCCAAATTCATCCCATGGAAACTAAGGAATGCTGTTCTATGCAGAGACTTGTCTTGTGCAGACTTTTAAGATGTTATTGAGCCTTCTGGTGTCAACTTGCTGAACTGCAGATCCTGGAAAGGGATTGAACTGGCCTCTAGACAAGTAGGAGTCAGCAGGAACCCTCCAAGTTCCTGAGGGTGTCAGTGATCACCACCGAGGGCCATCACTGAAGAGCCCATGAAGGGAATGAGGAGACAAGGTTCCTGTCTCTGGGGGTGATGAAGCAGGAAGGCAGAGGCACTGCTGCCAGGCTGAAAATCAAATGTTCAGGCAAATGTGAAAGCCCTTGATGTGTTTCCTCACTCAGGATGTTCAAGCCCTGACCCCCATAACCTGGGAATGGGGATCCTTCCCCTCAGGGGACGCTGAAGAATCTTCACACAGACACCTCACATCTTCTTCATGTCTTTCACACACACACTGTCACATATAACCCCACTCTCTTGGACCAGGAGGTTTGTGCATCCTCCAGGCTCCTGGATGTTTCCTGAGGCCCATCCAAGTGTGGGGAGTGAAGGAAGGAAGGAAGGAGAGGTGTCTCAGGCTCGCCACCAGCCCCAGGGCTGAGGGCCAGCCATGGCATGAGGAGACGGAAGCCACTGTCTCCCTGTGTCCGTTGCTCTGGTCTCCCAGGCATCCTTATTGTCCCCTGCCAGCAAGCCCCTCTGTGCCAGCCCCTCTCCCAGGAAAAGACTCCTGGACCAGGGCCTCCTCAAACTTCTCCACTTGCCCCAGCAATAGAGAAACTTGTCCTGAGCTGGTGCATACAGAAATAGATTTCTCCTGAGAGGAACTGATGCTAAAGAACATACAAAAATATATGAAGAAATTGAAGGAGCAATTTACCAAAATAAGAGAGCAGACTTAATCACAAATGAAGATGATCTTATGGTCCACAGACACAGACTCTGGTTACAGATTAAATAACTGTAGTTAGGTATTGGCCAGGTGCAAGATTTAGAAAGAGAACTACAGATTTTAGAAAATGTGCTAGAGAAGTTTGGAACAGCAGCTCAGTTCGTAAAACAGGAACATGTAATCACAAATGTAAGTCACGATAAATGCAAAGCCAAAAAACATAACATCCCAGGCTGGTTCTGTCCAGCTGTGGGGCAGGGAAGAGGGAAAGGCCAGGAAAGGGGCTGGGTTTGGCTGTTGAACATGGGCTGCAGCAGAGATGAGGAGTCAAGGGAGTGGATGGAGAGAGATGGGCAAAGGCAACATCAATTGTGGTGTCGATTGTGAGGCCACGACTGTTACAGGAGCCTGATTGGCCAGGAGCTGGCCCCAGCAATTTGGGGACAAGATATGCATCAGAAAACCGTTCATCCCAACAATCATAAGCTAGGGACAGAGAAGAAGAGGAGAAACAGGCCAAGGGCAGATGGCAGGAATGGTGATGATGATGAGGTGGCTTCCACTGCAGCAGCCTGACTGGCCCTCAGGAGACATGCTGGCCAGCGGGCATTCTGAGGTCATCCAGTACCTCTGAGAAGCCACTCAACAGAAACGACCTCCTTGGGGAGGGGAGGGCTGAGGCAGGTGGAAGAGGCCCACTTGCATTCTGATTCTGGGGGCACCTCTGTTCTTGTGATCTGAGCAGCCATGGCAGACAGGAGGGCAGGCAGGGCTCATGGCCACCCTGCTCAGGACTAGCCCTGAGACTGCTGGAAAATCTTTTCCATATCTCCAGCTTGAGCATCCCCTGTTTCACCCAACCCTCCTCTTTCAACCTCTTAACATGCTCCATGGTGGAGAACCCCATTCTGTATTCTTGCAGACCTCCTCATAGGTGCGGAAAGGATGCAAGGAGGTTCCCCTCAGCCTTCCCTTCTCCAGGCTTCACAAGCCCAGCTCCCTCAGCCTCTCCTCACAGGCAAATTGTTCCAGCCCCAGCCTGTGTTAGGGGCCATTCACTGAACCCCCTCCAGCTTGCCAACATCCTTCCTGTACTGGGGATCTGCAATCCGGACACAGTAAACTGGACAAGCCCCTCTCGTGATCTCCTGGCCGTCCTGCTGGCCACAAAGGCCTGGGTGCAGCTGGCCTCCCTTGCTGCCAGGGCACATGGCTGCCTCCTCTCCAACCCACCCAGACCTTTCTTTTTTACTATATTTTCCTTCTGTTAGTTTGTAATGAAGGTAAATTCTGCTGTGCCCGTGTGAAGCCAGGTCTCTGAGGAAAACCAGTGGGAGCTGGTTCAGTGGAGCTGTAATGTCCAGCTGTGGGCTTGCGTGGAGAAGTCTGATGGAAGGAGAAATGCTGCAAGTGCCAGGCGGGCGAAGAGAGAAGTGGCAAGGCTGGGGAGGTGAGGAATCAGGCTGTCCATGCAGTGTCTGACCTCCAGCAAGAGCTGGCCCTGCCCATCCTGACAGCACTAGGAGACCCTCTGCATCAAGATCAGAGAACGCTGCAATCACTTCTTCTGTTAACAGAAAAATACAATAAACTGAAACCTAAAAAATACTTCTGTATTAACTGCTCAGTCAATTGTTGCCCTTTACATACACTCCAGAGACCTCTGCAGTTATCTGTCCATGGCTTGATAACTGAAGAAAACAATTAAAGGAGACATGGTTTTTTGCATTTGAATGAGCCTCATGGTGTCTTTGGTGCTGAGACCATGAGCCTCAGACACCAAGAAGAGCCTGAGCAAAGGGCTGAAGAAGTCAACATCAGAGGCAACCCCTAAGGTTTCAAGGAGTGTTAATGGGTCCCAGTGAGGGCCATCAGCACCAAAGCCTCCCCAGGGGCTGGTTAGAGCAGGAAGTTGGAGGTGTCAATGAGAGGCAAACAAACACAATGTTAAGGTGGTTCTGGTGCTTACTGTACCTTAATGTGTTTAAGCCAAAGTGACAAAGCCTGACCCCCAGCCCCTGGGAAGGGAGATCCTGTCCCTCACACATTGCCCAGGGCTCTTCCTGGGGCAGTGTCATGTGGGAATGTGCAGTGACAAGGGCAGGACTACAGTGACACTTATGGGTCTCTCTGGGGTGGGGTAGAGGGGTGATAAGGTCCTGGTGCCATAAGGTTAAGGTTTGTCCAGGAAGGCCTTAGTCACAGAGGCAAAGGTCATAGACAAAGGGGAAATGACCTTGGCTCTGCTGGGGCTCTTAGCCTTGCCAGAGCCTTCAGTTGTCTTTCCCACAGGCTGTCCTCAGTGTCCCACACCTGCAGCTCTTTGCCTGCAGACTCTCAACATCAGCCTTTCTTCCCCACCTCCCTCTCACCTGAGCATCTCACTGCCCTCACTGGTAGAGAATAGAATAGACCAGGCTATTTCATTTGGGAGGGACCTGGAATGATCATCTAGTCCAACTGCCTGACCCATTCAGGGCTGACCAAGTTACAGCATGGTATTAATGGCATTGGCCAAATGTCTCTTAAACACTGACCACCATGGGGCATCGACCACCTCTCTGGGAAGCCTGTTCCAGTGTTTGTCCACACACTCAGTAAAACAAATGCTTCCTCATGTCCAGTCTAAATCTCCCCTGGCACAGCGTTGAACCGTTCCCACATGTCCTATCACTGGATACCAGGGAGAAGAGATCAGCACCTCCCACTCCGTGTCCCCCCCTCAGGAAGCTGCAGAGAGCAATGAGGTCACTCCTCAGCCTCCTCCTCTCCAAACCAGACAAACCCAAACTCCTCAGTCACTCCTCATAGCACATTCCTTCCAGCCCTGTCACCAGCTTTGTTGCCCTCCTCTGGATGCATTCGAGGACCTTCACGTCCTTCTCAAACTGTGCGGCACAGAACTGCACACAGTATCGAAGGTGAGGACGCACCAATGCTGAGTATCTATCCATCCTCCTGGTTGTTCCTTGAAACACAAAGCTGTGGGCTCTTCCAGACTCCCTCTGGGAGACTTGTTGCAGCACAGCACTGCCCTTGGGGTGACAGTTCTTTCTCTTTGTCTCCATTCTCTACCTCCCAAGATGCACTTTGTTCTACGATGTCTTTCTCCTGCTGTTTTCCACTTGGAAGAAAAGCTCCATCACCTCTGAAACCACCCCTCAAGCATGCTCAGGTTAATCCTTTACTGCCTGGAACCTCCATGCCTTGGGCCAAAGATGCCCATGTCCCTCAGCCTCTACACACAGGTCAGGTGCTTGAGGCCCCAAACCCCCTGTTTGCAGACCTCCCCTCAGCACTCTCCACCTCCTCCCAACCCCTAAAAAACAAGGAACTGCACAGAGGCTCACACCTGTGTGTGTGGAGCCACACCAGTGCTGAATTGAAGGGGAAGCTCACGCAAGTTTTCTGGGTTGCCACATTCTTCCTAAAGCAAGCTCAGCTGGCCTTGTTCATGGTGAACATGCACCACTGGCTCGTATGCCAACCCTCTTAGTGCCCAGGCCTGGCTGTCCCGATCCAATGTCAGGGGAGGTTTTGATTTGATCCCAAGAACAAGATTAAGATGCAGACAAGGTCAAATGCCTTACAATAGAAACAGCCTTTTTTTTAATCAAAATTAGAAAAAATAATAATAATAATAAAAAAAAAGTAAAAAAAGTAGCAATAGGCTAGACTGGAAGGAAAAGGTAGAAATCAAGAAAGCACTGGGAATCGGGTTACAAGGGTAGTGACCACCATGGATCCATGGTGTCTGGGGTTTCAAGTCTCTTGGTGCTTTTTCAGTGGACAATCACACGGGGCTTGTCTCAACAGCCCTTCCTGTCCCCATTTGAGGCTGCTGTTTCCATAACAATGACAGGAACTTGTGGTTCTTCCCCATTCCTGCACATATGCCAGGATGTTCTTCCCAAGTGTCTTGCAGCCCTTGGAGAGATGTTTCTCACCAGCGATATCTCTGTGGCCTTGCAGCAGATGCTTTTCACAGGCCAGATATCTCTGTGGCCTTGTAGCCATCCTTGCAAACAGGAAATCTCTGAGACAAACCACTCGAGACAAACAGTTCCTACTTTGTGCTCTCGCAGCAGGTAACACTCAGCAGTTGCAAAGCAGCCAGAGCAGTGGAGCTGAGCCATACAGCTGTGAGCAGAAATGGTCCCGTCCCCAGTCAGCAAGCTGGCCAGCAGCCGGGGCAGGAGGGTGGAGCTGTAGCAGGTCTCCAAGGAGGGCAGATTGCCCCAGAAGAAGTACGTGGGGGTGTGCAGATGCTGCTCTGACAGCACCAAAACAGCGATGAGGATGTGCCCAATCACAGTCATGATGAGTGATAGGAGGAAGAGTGGAGTCTGGAGTGAGGGCACATTCCCCGTTCCCAGAAGCAGGAGCTCTGTGGGTTTTGTCTGATTCTCCTCTTCCCGTTTTTCCATACAGCTTTGTTTCTCTTTCTTTCCTTACTCACCAGGAAGGATACCTGTGACAAAACACCTCAATTTCTGCATTAAGGGGAAGAAGGGCTGTGATGGACAATACTGCTAAAAGAAGATACAAAAAAAACCCAAAAAATCTCATATACTTGGCCTTAGTTCCTAGTCTGTTTTTTGTCTCTCTATAAACTAATAGACCTGGGTTCTTCAGGAGGACAGGCCCACTTGTCCCAAGAGCACTCCCTCTGACCACAGGGCTGACTTGCCCCATGGAGCTGCCTCTTCCACATGCTGGAATGCAAACATCATGTGCATTTGCTCACATTTTGACATCCTGCTTTTCTGTGCTTGGGGGATTCTCAACATGACCAGAATAGCTGTTTAGAACTGAGATCCTCTGTGGTCTTCCAAGGAAAACCAGTGTCATGATTTGAAATAAATAGTTTCTGTGAAAAGATCAAGGCAGATGTCCTTTCTCCAACTGGGAGAAGGCTGAGCGCAGCTCTGGGTGAGTGGTCTCAGCTCTCAGAAATGCTGCCCTTCTGAGGAGAGCATTCCTGCCCTGAGCAGGCCAAGTTCTTGCATTGACCAGGAGAAGGCAGGGAGCTTCCAGCTCAGACAAAGGGACTGTTCAATGGGATCATGACAGAGGTTACTTGAGACAACACTGCATGTGAGACAGTAAAAGAAAAGGTGAGAAAAAGTCTGCCCAGGACATGCCTGAGTGAACATCCAGGGAAAATGCCTGCCTGAGAAGCAGCCTCACCAGCTGTGCTCCTTGAAATACATATTGCTCTCATCATTTTCAAACCCACCTCCTGGCTGTGATGGTTTTGCATACTTTTGCCCATCCTGCCTGTGTTAGCGGTCGCAATAGCGAAAGAACTTATCTACACAGAGCAGATAAGCAGGCACTTCTTTATTCCAGTGCTGGGGAACACAGGGGATAACTCCGCCAAAGACGTGTTCCCCGACAGGTACAAAGCACAACATATTTATAAACTTTTTCAGCAGAGTCATAGTTACATAAGATCAACAAAATTCATAAAGTTTAAGTTGACCATAATAATGATTGGCTTTCAGTTACCTCATCTCATCTATATTCCTATTTTACAGAAATCATTGGTCATCTTTACTGATTGATTTAAATAGAATTGGGGGAGGCCAATGATTAGCATACTCATGTTATTTCCTGGAAATTATTATCTTATGAAAAACACTGAAGAATCAGAAAACAAACAAACAAACAAACAAACAAACAAACAAAAAACAAACCAAACAAACAAAAAAAAACCAAAACAAATAAACAAACAAACTGATAGAAATTAATCATCAAGACAGGGAGTTGGAACCAGATGATCTGCAAAGGTCCCTTCCAATCCAAACCATTCTGTGATTCTGTGATTTTATGACAAGAACCAACCTGAAGTGTCCCATAGAGGAGCTCCATGTATGTGAGCCACATTAAACAGGCCATGCCTCACTCCCCATCTTCCCTGGCAGTCACAGAATCATAGAATCATTTAGGTACGAAAACACACTTCAGTTCATCATATCCAGCCATTATCACATTGCCAAGTCCACCACTAAATGTGGTCCCTCTGTGCGACATCTACATGTCTTTGAAATACCTCCAGGGATGGTGACTCAACCACTTTCCTGGGCAGCCTGTTCCAACATTTGAAAACTCTTCAAGTGAAGAAATGTTTCCTCATATCCAATCTATACTTGCCCTGAATCAACTTGAGGCCATTTCCTCCTGTCCTTTCACTTGTTACATGAGAAAAGAAACTGACCCAGACCTCACTACAACCTCCTTTCAGGTAGTTCTAGAGAGCGATAAGGTCTCTCCTGAGCCTCCTTTTCTCTAGGCTAAACACCCCAGTTCTCACAGCTGCTCCTCACAGGACTTCAGCACCTTCAATATGCTTCTGCGGACACGCAGCAGCACCTCAATGTCTTTCTTGTAATGAGGGGCCCAAAACTGATCCCACTATTCAAGGTGCAGCCTCACAGTGCTGAGTACAGAGGGATGATCACTTCCCTAATCCTGCTGGCCACAGAAATTCTAATATAAGGCAGGATGCTATTGGTTTTCTTGACCACCTGGGCACTCTGTTGTCTCATTTTAAACCAATTGTTAACCAACATCCCCAGGTCCTTTTCTGATGGGCAGCTTTTCAGCAACTCTTGCATAAGCCTGTAGCCTTGCATGGGGTGGATGTGCCCAGAGTGCAGGATCTGACAATGATCCTTCTTTAATCTCATAAAATCGGCCTTTCCCATCACTCCAGCCTGTCCAGACCCCTCTGTAGAGCCTTCTTAGATTGCAGCACATCAACACTCCAGCACAACTTTGTGTTGTCTGCAAACTTACTGATGGTGGACTTGATCCACTCATCCAGATCACTGATAAAGATATTAATGAGAGCTGGCCCCAATACTGATCCCTGGGGAACAACACTTGTGACCGGCCACCAGCTTGATTGAACTCCATTCACCACTACTCTTTGGGCCTGGCCAGATGCCCAAGTAAGGACATTACAGTATGGATGGCTGGTTTGATGGTGGGGTTCAGAAGTTCATGGTGAACGAATTTTTCTCTGCAGGCAGATCAGTAACACATGGAGTACTGCAAGTGTTCACCCTGGGATCTGTCCTGGCAAACATCCTTACCAAGGACATGGAAGAACTGAAAGAGTGCACTCTCACTAAGATTGAAGATGCCACTGAATTGTGGAAGTAAGGGTCAGTACACTGGAAGGCAGAGTTGCCATCCAGGGAGATCTAGAGAGGCTGAGATGTTGTGGACTAATCACAGTAGACTGCTTAGGCTCACACAGCCACTCACTCACTCCTCCCCAGTGGGATGGGGGAGAAAATATGAAGGGTGAAAGTGAGAAAAATAATAGGTTGAGGTAAAGACAGTGAGAAAAATAATAGGTTGAGGTAAAGACAGTTTAATAAATAAAACAAAGCTGTGTACAAGTGTCAAGCACAATAAAGAAATTCATTCACTACTTCTCACAGGCTGGCAGGTGTTCAGCCATCTCCAGGAAAGCAGGGCTTCATCATGCACAGAGGTTATTTGGGAAGACAAGCTCTGTCACTACAAATATCTTCCCTTATGCTTTACCTGTATTTTTTATTACTGAGCACACTGTCATACAGTATGGACCATCCCTTTGGTTAGCTGAGGTCAGCTGTCCCAGTTGTGTCCCCTCCCAGCTTCTTAAACACCCCCAGCCTACTTGCTGTCAGGGTAAGTTTTCCCCATTATGATGCCAGTGAGAGCAATCAGTTCATTGTCCCCCCCGTAGATCCAGCAAGACATAACCTCATAACATACTATTTGCAGGCTCCCTCAGTATCCAACACTCTCCCAGCCCCAGCTGTGTCCCATGTGGGCATTCACAGACCTCCCTTCTCTTCAGTCTGCCAGGGTCTGCACCAGGAGAGAGGCCAGGCAGGGCTGGCTGGTCCCCCCATACAGGCACTGAGACCAGCAGGAGGATGGAGATGGTTTAGCAGCAACGCTCACCCATAAACCTGGGTGAGCAGCCAGTGCTGTAAATGACCAGCTAGATAGGCTGGGGGGTGATGAATGTCCTGGGCCACCTTTCCAGTCTGGCCATGCCACCAAGAGCACAAAGTGGCACCCTCTCTCCTCTGCCTTCATATCTTTGATCCCTGTCATGAGCCCTGGCTCCGCACCACAAATCCCCTGGTGTGAGTGCTCACCCTGCATCTTCACACAGTATAAGATGTACACTGGTGTTTTTCTCTCCAAGGCACTTTCCACACCAGCCCAGCACCTCCCCAGCACTCCCCATGCCCACCACACTCTCCCCAGACCATCCCAGCCCAGTACAACATCCCAGTCTTGGCTGGCCCCAGGGCATTGCCCAGCGCAGGGTGCTGCAGAGCTCTGGGCACTCACCCCACAGCCCCAGCCCCTCGGAAGGTCACAGCAGCTCCTGGGGCACAGAGGGCTCTCAGCCTCCCCATCAGCCCCAGGGCTGGGGCCAGCCATGCAATGAGCAGATGCAGGCCAGTGTCTCCCTCTCTCTGCTGCTCTTCTCTCCAAGAGATCCTGATTGCCCAGTGCTGGCAGCCCCTCTGTGCCCGTCCCTCTCCCCAGCACAAGACTCCTGCTCTGGGGGATCCCCAGGCAGCTCCTGCTGTGCCAGCGAGAGAAAAGCTGCCCAAACTGGTGCCTCCAGAAATAGGTCTGCTCTTGTCGCGGGATGTCACCTCAGGCACGGCCCTGAGCTGGCGGTGCTGCTCTGCAGGGCAGTGGTGGCTGAAAGCCACGGGGAGATGGTCCCAGGGAGATCCCCATGGATCAGCCATCATTGCCATTGCACTGGGCACCCCCACGTGAAGGGGCAGCACAGGCCTATTCCCTAACACATCCCCCCATGCCCTCCTGCCCTGAAACCCTGGAGAACCCAAGCACAACAGCACACTCAGAGGGGCAATTCCTTCAGCCTGTTCCTGACCTCAGCTTGGGAGGAAGAGACCAACCTCCAGATATCGGCACTGAAAAAATTGTTTTATTACAGATATGTGACTAGGAAGGCCAGCTGTACTGTCCTACCAGACACATGCACAAAAGCCTCTCTGTCAGAGAGGCTGGTTCATGTCTCTGAGGAAGAGGAGTGGATACAGATATTTTAGGAACAAACAAGAGTTTCACAAATAAAACGCTTACTGCACAGAAGGTTTCAGATAAGAATTAGAAATGACTTCTGAAGAGACGCGGGCGGCTTGTCCCTGTTGAGAGTCAGCTGACTGAATCAGCTTCTTCAGTGCGTCCTTCATCTCCTGGTTCCTCATGCTGTAGATGAGGGGGTTCACTGCTGGAGGCACCACCGAGTACAGAAATGACACCA